CGGAGGCGCGGCCGTGTCCTCCTTCGCCTGCCGAGCGCTGCTCCCGCCATCGCCGAAAGTAAGTGCCAGGCGATGCCGGACTGGGAGCGTTCGTCAGAGCTGATGACCATCTGTTATCACCGTGGAGAGGAGACGGGCAGCTGGCTAGTGGGGCAGCAGAAAATGAGATCAAAGAATCGGCAATTACAGCAAAGCATGCCCCGAAAATTACACTTTTGCATCCACAAAATGTGCTCTTTTTTTTTTTTTCCCTGTTTTTAATAGAAATAATAGTTCAGCCACAGGAAAAAAAATTCTCTGCTCTTTGTTTTGTGCGTGCAGTACCTCGGAGTGTAATTTAACAACGTCCTTGCTGACAACACCCATCTTTTTTTTTTTTTTTTCTGGGGAAAATACAAACAGAATAAATAGGACACAATATTACTGCATATGTGGCAATTTTGGCATTAGAACAGAAAAGACATGGTATTTAAAGGCTGAACAGTCATAGAGGGGCAAGGGGCATTTTTTTAGGTGCTTACTTAATTGCCTTTCAGTGCAATTAATTGAACTTTGTGAGTCGTATTATATTCAGTGATGTCATCTTTTGCCCCGTCAAAGAAAAAAAATAATAGGATGCTCAGAAAGAAAAAAGGGGGAGGGAATCCTGCTTCTCGGTATAATGAAGAAATAGGTTCCAAAACGAATTGCACAGTGCAGAAATGCTCCTACACACTATGTGGTTTAGCTCAGATCACGGGAACAGAGAGATGAGTTCTGATGGTCCAGTAAGACAAAAGCCACAAATGCTCAGTGTTTAGTCCTCTGCCAGTTTCCCTGCAAGCACTTTTTAGGTGCTTTCCCCAGGTGACTCCTGGAGTTTCACTTCTCTAATAGGATTTGACCTTCCATCTCTTACCTGCCAGCCATCTCCTCTTTCTGAGGGCAGGGAGGAGGGGGTTGAATTTGTCAGTGTTACATAACAGTTACCTGGAACATTGCACATGTTCCCAAACTAGGGATGCCTCTGGACTGCAGGTAAGAGATGAATTTCTAATATTGCAGATCAAGTGCAAATGGCTACAAAAAAAACTTTTCACAGGGCACCACTTTCCAGTGTTGAAATGTTTCCTTTGTGCATTTCACAGTAATTCCTTTCCCACTCATTAAAGCAAGACACGTCATATGCTTAACCCTCCCCACAGTTATGTGTAAGTAGAGTAATGAAACAAATGGTATCTATAGATCAAATACACTGCCTTCCTGCTTTTATTTCTCCCAACCCCTCAAATCCTGCATGACCTCACTAACCACAGTTAGTGTGCACTGTAACCCCAGAACATATCAGGGAATGGGGCTTGGCGTCCTCTGAGCTCTGGTGCTTTGCAGGCTCCTTCTGAAATGAGTGAGATCTTCTTTTGTTCACTCTAGTGGATACTGCTGGGTTTGTCATTTACCTGGAGTATAAAGTAATCATTTAGCTGTTTGGCAGGAGTATAGTGGGACACGCAGCCGCTTTGATGCTGTTGTTCTGCCTGTTTCTTTCTTACACATGGGAGCTGTGTGGGCAAGGGAGTTCTGCCTGTTGGTGTCAGCCTCCATCCCACTTATTCAGGGTTTTAGTTTCCAGGACTTTGAAAGAGGAAAGGCAAGCAGACACATCTCTTGTGCTGCAGGTCTGTCCTTGGTTCTCATCGTCTTCTCTTCTCCCTTTCACTGCAGGAACTGGAGTGGCCGTGGGGGGCAGTGCGCTGGTAGCCAGCCATGATTGCCACTGGAGGCCTCCTGAGGATCTCGGCCAGGAAACAGGATCCCTTGAAACCCCAGAGCCAGCTCCCCAAACGCAAACGCAAGGCCAAAAAGAAGCGCAAGAATGACGTGGTGGTGGTGAAAGGCAAGCTCAAGCTGTGCTCCCTCTCGGGCTTCATCGCCCTCTGTGGCATCCTGGTGCTGCTGGTGGGCATCGCCTTGGCTGTGGTGGGCTACTGGCCAAAGCCCAGCCAGGTGTACAGGGAAAGCAGCTTTGGCAAGGGCCGGCACCCAGCACCACAGGGCGGAACCCACACGAACCGCTCCCAGAGCCAGGGAAGGCTGCAAGCAGGGATCCACCTGGAGTCACCCCCTGGAGCCAACACCTCCACCACTGCTGCCCCTGGTGGGTCTGCCCCTACTTCCTCATCCCCCCAGGCCTCAGCGGGTTTCCTTTTCCGTCTTTTCTCGAGCTACTTGCATTCGGACAAGCTGAAGGTGCTGGGCCCTCTGATCATGGGTATCGGCATCTTCCTCTTCATCTGCGCCAATGCGGTGCTGCACGAAAACCGTGACAAGAAGACCAAGATCATCAACCTGCGTGACCTCTACTCCACCGTCATCGATGCCCACAGCCTGCGGGCCAAGGATGGAGGCACCCCGGCCTCAGCCCCTCTCAATGGCTTTGTCAACTACATGCAGGCCCGGGGCCTGGAGCTGAAGCCTGGCGGGGAAGGCCTGGGTGCTGCAGCCATGCTGGCCAAGAGCTCGTGGCCACCAGGACTGGGTGTCTCCCTTTCCCCACCGGATCTGGTGTCCTCACCGCAGCGTTCCTCCTTCTGCAGCCCCCCGCAGCCACCCAGCCTGGCTGAGGCAGTGTACAGCATCTGCCGGGAGCGCGCCGCCCTCGCCACCAGCCCACCCTGCAGCCCCGCGGGCAGCTGTGGGCGCTGCAGCACAGCCAGCTCCATCGTCGGCTCTTCGCTGAGCACCTTCACCCTCCTGCCCTTGGGGCCAAGCAGCGGAGGGGGAGGCTCGCACAGACCACCTGGGGAGCGGGGAGCCCAGGAGATCCCACGGGGAGAGTTTGAACTGAGCCTGACTGACCTCAGCAGCAGCCCCGTCAAGGGAGGCTGTGGCACAAGGAGGCACAAGCTGGTTGTCAGGCGACAGAGCACCAGCTGCTTGCCGGATGCCAGGTGTCCCCTTTCCCTTGAGCCACCTCGGTCACCAGCTGTAAGGAGGGTTCTGGAATCCAGCCGCTTGGTAAAGGCATCTCCTAGCTACTCTGAATCTCTAGATCTGGGAGGATCGCCCCCTTCAGCTCCTCCTGCCATTACCAGGACGGACTCCCAGAGCTCCCAGTCTGAGCCTTCCAGCAGCAATAAGGGCTACAGCCACTTGGAGGAGGCAGGCACCTCCTTGGAGTCAGTTGCCAACACCACAGCCAGTAAAATTCAGGACTGTGAGGAGGAACAAGTTGATCAGATGGACCCCCTCAAGGCTACCAGCAGAGAACAAACAGGGGAGCAATCCCAGCAAACTCAAAGACAGTACACAAATAAAGAGAAACTCTTTATGATTTCTAGGTCGCATGCTGCATTAGGGCTGGAGGATGGGGAACTGGAGAGTACGGGCATCTAAATAAAAGAGAGACAGCAAGAGGACACCTTGCATCCCTCCACACCTTCCCCGCTTCTTCATCTCCTTGTGGACTAGGAAAACAATCAATATCCAAAGAGCTGCACTATGTTACCCTTGAAAATTGAATTCCATAGATCCTGTAGATGACTTCAGGAAGAAAAAAGAAAATCCTTTCTGTCTTTTTGTGATTGTATGTTTCATGCAAGCCAAATTGTATTAAATATCCACAGTCCAGCAAGTTCTTCGGATCAGGTTAATACAATTTTGGATGGTATAGCTGTGCACTTTACTGTTTTGATTTTTAAGTGCCCCTTCTTCTCCTCTGATTTCTTTCTTGCTGATTTGCCACTAACTGCTTGAAAGCTGCAGGCACCTTTTTAAGCTCAAAAGCAACGTGGTCTTCAGAAAGAAAGCCGAGCTCTCTCTTTGTTTTGGTTCAATTAGTAAAACGTTTGCAAGGCCTTAAGGATGATGTACCTTGACAAAGAATGAGTTTGTTTAAATTCTGGAAAAAAATGACAGTTTAGAAGAGACTGGAGCAGAACAGAGCTCTGAAGATTTAGTTAAAACCATTACATTCCTGAATCCAAAATACATATTACTACATGATATACTTTATCGAAGTATTATTACACATGTATTGACTAATAGCATTAAAAGAT